CTGATTCTTTTTGATCAACATGTAATTTCATGAAATTGAACAGATCGTTCTGAATTTCTAATGAAGACAATACATTTTGGAATTCAGCAGAAGATTTATCTGTCCATATATACGAAGGTGAAAGAGGTCCAAGAGGACAGCCACCATGGTCACAATCATATTTGACAAAGTATTTCACATTTAACATCATAGAAATTTGACAATGGTCAGACATGGTTCCAATAAAATCATGTACATGAAAAAATGAAATATATTTTACTAAATATTCAGATACAATGAAATAATCTATGACACTATTACCATTAGGTTGATGTGAGGTGTACTGTCAAAAAGTATCTCCGAATGTTCTACCATTTAGAATTCTTAATTTATCTTGAATACATAAATCAATTAAATATTTTCCCCTTTGAGAAAATATATTTTCTTGACTACTTCTAGAGGGTAAATCTAAATCGGGGCTGTATAAATTAAAAAGTGGTGTGCGATTTGAACTATCCCCTTGAATTATGTCAGGTTCATCTCCGGTCCTGGCATTAAAATCCCCAGCTAATATTATATCCCCATCTTTTGGAGTGCTTTGAAATATATTTCTCAATTAGTGAGAGAATGTCAGCATCTAATTGGCGACTATAAGTTAATTCCGCTGGTGGGTCATATAAGAAACATATATAAATATATCTTGATATTCCAAAAAAAAAACATCTGATTTTAACCAGATGTAATCATTGGTTTCATGTTCAAGGAATTTTACCCCTTTTCGAATATCTTTTTTGATATAAATAGATAATCCTCCAGATCGCTTTTTCTAATTCTTGGAGATTTAGGCCTAATTAAGCTAATCACATCAAATTCAGGTATTTTTAGTTAATTTTGCAAATCACAAAGAGTTTCCATTAGACAGAATATATCATTATCAGAGATCAGACTAACAAACTCTGCGTCTTCAAACTTAATAAAATCTTTTGATTTATACCCATTGATATCCCAACTAGCAATATGAAGTGATGTTTTTTCCATTTGATTTATTTTACATTTAAATATGTGTTTTACCAGAAAAGAGAATTAGTTAGTAGATTAGAGCTGTTATTTTCTTTGTGTTGAAAGTTAAAGCCAATGCAATATAGTGTAAACATTGAAATAACTTAAAATTTTTGTAATATCTGCATTTGAATAAATGAATGTTTGATTTCTGAAGAAAACTTTTTTCCTCTTTCTTTCTTTCTTTCCTATCTTTCTTTCGTGTACTCTTTAATGATCTAGAATGGAAATCACCACTGAATTCAGTTTAATATAAACATGTTATTGAAATAAAAGAAAGGAATGTTAAAAATACAAACTATTCTATAACTTCAATAATAACCATCAGTAAACATGGTAAAGACTCTAGTTGTACTACATGTACAAATGTATATATTATTAAGTCAATCAATCTTATTATTTGTACATGTATTGGTATTCTTATTTCTATATTTGTATTTTATCTGAATATATCAGTGATGAGCATATACATGTATGTAAAATAAGTTTTGATTTTGCAACTATTTATAATAAAAATCAGATACGTGTTTACATTAAGTTGAGAGGTATTTTAAAAACAGTAAAAAATGTAATGAATAGATTAAACTACAAAATGTAGCAATGGATTTATCATTTTAGGCTGTACACATACATGTACATGATAAATGTACTTATACTGTTGCATACCTGAAAAGTATGTCACTTTTAACATATAAGTGTAAAGGTAGTAAGGATAAAACGTACTTGTTAAAGTGAAGTTGGTGAAATTAAAACTAGAGTACATGTTAACAATGAAACATATGTACATCATATTGAATAAATTTATTCTTTACAAGCACAAATTTTGACTAAGATAATAATTTTCAGATTTATCGAATTACCACTTAACATTGCATTGGTTAAAATATATATATAATTATGTCATTATTTTTTTTTTTTTTTTTTTTTAGAGACCAAAAGTTTTAATCAAATAATAGTATTGAAAAATCAAAAATAGAATAATAAAAATAAATTTTTGAACATTAACTAAATGGAATTCTTTATAATTGCACAAATACTATGAAATCTAACTACACTTTATTCGTTTCACGGTCTTCATGTATTCTTTTTGTATAGCCTTTAATAGCCACGTCTTCCTCTGGGGTTAAATTGACGAGTTGAACCATAATTAATATACTGATTTCTGTAACCACCATTTCTACCATAAAACTCATTCTCATTATTATTTTGTGAAATATATCAAGAGTACTGTCTGTTTGGATCTGAGTACTCTCTGTTTGGATCTGAGTACCTTCCATTGTGCTGTTCTATCCCTCACATGACTTTCATATTTCTTTTTGAAGGGATTTGGAATGCACAAAGCTTCACACACTGATGATTTGATGTTTGCAACAAGCACTTTTGTACCTTGTGTCGAAAGGTGAACTTTGTCAGAGGATTTAAATTTGTTGATAGGATTTCCCCCAATACCAATGCAAGCGTTGTCACATACTGAAATCAATTTATCTCCTATGTATTTATGTCTTAAATGAATACTGCACTCCTGAAGCCTCTTGTTCATCGAACTGTAGTCACCTCGAGGTATAGCATCTGAGATGATGATGGGAATTTCATGCCATTTATCATAAACAAATGTGATGAATTTTTCTACAATTGTTGATGAATGCTCCCTGATATCATTAGTGAAAAGATGTACAACCAGACAGTCAATAGGGCCTTGAATATCCTGTAAAATATGTGTTGCCTCTTGAAATGCCATGTACTTTTCTGTCATAGTCAAAAATAAAGTCTTTTTCTCTTATTGGCGACTTGAATTTCCTATTAACACTAATTTACCTTTTCGTGCATTACCATCGTAAGAACTATCATGCATATTTTCATTTGATTCAAATGATTTCTCTTCAAGTGTGTTAAATGGTGTGAATCTATTTGATGTTGAGACTGCGGGATAAGTAAGATCATGAGCTTGTGCATCGTTTGGTGTTTAGGTACATGTATCTAGTTTATCAATCGTTTGACTTTGCACGTCATGTGAAGGTTGCCTCTGAATTGTCACAGATTCATTTAGAACGGTAACTGATTGGTCTTTTTGATTTTGATGATTAAATGTATTTATTACACCGTGAATTGATATGTTTGTTTTCTTAAGATCATCCAATTGTTTTCGAAGAGGTATTAATTCTGCAGTATTTTAACATCTTTCTTAAATAATGGTCCTCGGTTCTTCTGTTTTTTCGAAATGCTCCCTGGACCTCGCCTGAAAGCTCAGATTTTTTGCACTAAGCTTAGTTACAGTTGCGTCAGTTGTACGTTTTTGCAATTGCTTAATTGATATATTTGTATATAAATATTGTTAAAAAAATATGTCTCTTTCACTATTTCGTTAATTACAGCTCTAAACTACTATTTTTCTCTACTGGAAGTTTGTTACCGCCATGTCATTCAAACGAGGCAAACCAATCGCATAGTCAGCTATAAAAGGCCCCGAAATGACAAATGTGAAACAAATCAAATGAGAAAACTAATGGCCTGATTTATGTATACACAATGAATGAAAAACAAATATAATATGCAGCAACAAACGATAACCACATAATTACAGGCACCTGACTTGGGACAGGCACATACAGAATGTGGCGGGGTTAAACTAGTTTGTTGACGCCAAACCATCCCTTAACCTGCATGGAACAGTGGTGTAACAGTACAACATAAGAACACACTATAAAAATCAATTGAAAAGGGCTTAACTCATCAGATCGATACAAAACAGAATTATAACATCTCACAAAAACACAGACCGGACGTGGCAGGGTATTTATACATCACCACAACAAAAAAGACACTAAGTACAGATCTGAGAGTACTCGCAGTTACTGACATCTAGTTCAAAGCCTATAACAACTAATAAAAAATCATGCATCTAAGGCTAATATCTGTTTGCCTTCATGGAGGAACTGGTTCAAGCATTCCGCAGACCTAATGGCCGCCTGAGTCCCTTACTCAAGTGTCTAGCGTGTACGCTCATTTTAGTTTTTGTACCAAGCATATAATACATGCACTCACTGTCCGTGTGCATGACTGTGCACTCGATAATCTTGCACTAGTGTATGAGTGTTACTATTGAAACAAGAGAACAAGAAAATGTGGTATCCAGTGCTGGTGTCTTAATGATAATCGAATAACTAAAACACATATTCAATACATGAATGATTAGTTTTTCGGTGCTCGTATATGATTAAACATTCCATTGCATGCATACTGACTAATTATCTAATTTATATACTATGTTTGTTTCTGTTGAGAAAGCACCTAATAAAGCTTAGTACTTAGTATGTTGTGCGATTACTTTGTTGGTGTAAATGCGATGAATACGTATTTACTAGTATGCATATTGTTGGAGTACTTGATATACTCGCTCTATAATTTTTGGGTTGAATTTGTTAAAACACGCAGTCAATATCTGGTAGCCGTGTGATAGTGGGATGATGGTTGAAGCATCTTTAAATTAGAGTTGTTATTTTGTTTTTTTAGATGATTTGTTAGCGGGGTTTTTTTTTTCTTTCAATGAAAAAAAACTTTGGAGTATACTACTGTCATAGAAACTGCTACCAAATAACACAAAACAACTAAAAGACATAAAGAGGGCAACAAAGACAGGTGTTTATAAATATCTAACGCACTTAATCGCCTAGAGTCTTAAAAAGTGGTGTAAGATTTTTATAAAGACTATTTAAGATCTGCCTTCAACATTAAATTCACCAGACGACAAAAGTTTGATTAATATATTTTCTGAAACGTTCGACATTACATAGTCTCAGTTATACAGAGATTGAAATAATACACAATGGAAGCACCATATTCATTATGAAACGAATATGAATTCAGAAATGTTGCTATATTTTTCACTGTGAAAATTGCGATGGGATAGGTTTCGCAAAAAATAAAATCGCATATCTAATTTTTCATTTGTATGCAGTATTTTTGAAATTGAAAAACAACGATTTTTTGTTCACTCTTTAACAATTACAATAATAAATGCATGCACAAATTTCTAAATGTACAATAGTGTAAAGAAAAATGTCAAATTTTATTCCGATAGATACAACTTTCCCTTGCAGAGACAATTTCCAGTAAAGGAATAAAATTGTTCTTCATCACACAACTTATTTGTACCAATACATTATTCTCAATATTTGATTTCAAATCTTCTATTATTACATGTATATAGCTTATGTTGAACTCGCACCTTCCTTGTCCAGCCAAAGCAATGAATTATGTATTTTTGCTGTTGTCACTGTATAACTATTGCAACGTTTCAAAAAATAAATCAATATACGATCGTACAAGGAAGTTTATTTACAAGATACATCGTACATACATATCAAAATGATTTTTAAATAAATGGGATACAATCACTCTTCATTAATTTTCATAAAAATCCAAATGTAGTTAAAAAATATACATGTTTAAAAATACTTTTCTTCTCCTTTTCGAATTACAAATGAACGAGACTCTATTTCAATACTTTCAACTTTGATTGGCGTATGTTTCAAGTGTAACTAATATTGACATATGTTCCCAGTGTAATCGATGTAAGTATTTGTTCCAAGTGTAATCAATATGTGCGTTTGTTCCCAATGTAATCAAGATAAGCGTATGTTCCATGTGAAATCGAGATTAGTGTATGGTCCCAGTGTAACAAAAATTACCGTAAAATTATGTTCCAAAAGTGATAAATATTAGCGTATGTTATATACGCAAAATCGAGATTAGTGTATGTGCCCAGTGAAACAAGCTTAGCCAATGTTCCTAGCGTAATCGAGATGAGAGTATATTCCCAATGTAATCAAAATTACCGTAATCTATGTTTCAAGAGTGATCAATATTATCATATGTTTTCATGGTCAACGTATGTGCCCAATGTAATCATTATCAACGCGTGTTTCCAGTGTAATCAATATTAACGTATGTGCCCAGTGTAATTAATATTAACGTATGTTTCCAGTGTAATCAATATTTACGTATGTTTCCAGTGTAATTAATATTAACGTATGTGCCCAGTGTAATCAATATCAACGTATGTTTCCAGTGTAATCAATAATAACGTATGTTTCCAGTGTAATCAATATTAACGTATGTTTCTAGTGTAATCAATATTAACGTAAGTGCCCAGTGTAATCAATTTCAACGTATTTTTCCAGTGTAATCAATATTTACGTAAGTGTTCAGTGTAATCAATATCAACGTATGTGCCCAGTGTAATCAATATTAACGTATGTGCCCAGTGTAATCAATATTCACGTATGTGCCCAGTGTAATCAATATTAACGTATGTTCCCAGTGTAATCAAGATTAGCGTATGTTCTCAGTGTGATGAATATTAGCGTATGTTCCTATGGTAATCAAGGTAAGCGGATGGTCCCAGTATAATCGCAATCAGCATCTGTTTTCAGTGTAATCAAGAACTTATGTATTGACCAGTGTAATTAAGATTAGTGTATGTTCGATGTATGATCAAACTTCATAGAAAATCAATCAAAAAATATTGGCGATAGAGCTGTTAATTGGTTCATCTTGGCAACATAAGATGAAAATAGCAACGTCATTCTCTGATCTGTTATCATATGATGATGTTTCAATGGTATTATAATTAAATTACATGTATGTTTACGAGAATCCGATATATTAATTGGCTAACAACAATCGGGTGTCATTCAAAAATTAACCTTCGTATCAAAATGAAATGCTAAATTCGTGATGACACGTGCTTCCACAAAGAAGTGTACAGGTAAATAAAAGAAAAACTTGATAAAACTTTTTTTCCATGGTCTTGTTAGCATAAACATGTAATTATAAGAAATGAACGCAAAGTACATTTTTTTTTAAATATATAAGATGTGATACTTTATCATGTAGTGACAAACAAAAAACTGCAAAGCGTTTTGATGGTGGTGATGATATATTGTTATATATATAGTGTGTGATTCATTACAACTGTAGTTTGTCTTTCATACCAAAGCTTGAAAACTACTAGTTTATTCGATGAAATGTCGTGCAGAGGTCGTGTAATGGCCGTCACAATTTGTTATAAATTTGAAGTTGTAAACGGAAGATATTATCTTGTTGTCATCTCGCATGTTTAGATTCCTTTCGTAATCCCTCCTTAAATTTTGTTGCCATATATTCAAAAACATGTTCCCATGCAGTGGCCATCTGTGCCGTAAAATCTGATCCTAAGCATCCATTGAAAGCATCTCTAATCGCAGGCCAAAGTAACTGCAAGTAGAAGGAATTTAAGATATTATCATTAAGGTACCCAAGAACATTGCATTAGGACCTTACAATGTAATTTTGGGATTGCAAAGTCTTTTTTTTTGTACCTGTTTTTGTTATGCAACTGGCATCTGTTTTTTTCCGGTGTTTGTTTTGTTTTCTTCGTTTTTGATTTTTCCTTGGAAAAAGGGGGGGAGGTGTTATCATCTTAAAGGGGGAAAAAAGCTATACAGTTGAATGTACATTTGCTTGTTCTAGATTACCCAGAATGCAATGGTTAGTAGTTATGTACTATGGATTAATTCGAGAGAGACTAATTGTCAATGATTCCGTGGATATCGACTTACCACGAATTTAAGTAAAGTAAAAATAAAATCTGATTCTGGCTCACGGTAGGAGAAAAACAGTAGTGTTATTACAGTTTTGGAATGGTGTTAATCTGCATTTGCCTTGTTCGTCTACTTGTCCTTCAGTGCATCAGGTTGACTGTGCAAAACTTTCATCACACATTATTACATTTAATTATTCCGGAATTGTTTGAGATAAGGCCTGGCAATTCGAAATGATGAGCGATTTTCAAGTCATATTTAACGATGATTTTGATAATACTTTCTGAGAAGTTAATTTTTCTTCCCATTTCTCTAAAGTTTTGTGTAATGTAAAGTTTGATAGTTGGTCTTGAACTTTTTTCTTAAACAACGAAAAGTCAAACAGCAGTCTACAAACGAAACATATAAAAACTAGATACTGAGCAAAGCAAACCTCATCAAAAACCGGTAGTGATCTAAGGTGCTCCGGAAGAGTAAGCGGATTCTTCTCCACTAGTTGCTCCCTTCGTGTTGCTTTTGGCAAGTATCAATTCAGACTTTAAAACAGAAAATTGTTGTATTTACGATAAGCACGCGACTTTCAGGCGAAGAGTATTCAGGTGAATGGTATTAGCAAAAACAATAATGTATATTACTTAAGGGGATACTTCTAAGATAAACGTACAATGACCATTTCCGATTTGACATTGTGTCGCGCATGACTTTCTCCCATGGTTACAAGAACATTCGACAAAAAGACAGAATCATCAAGACTTTCTACAGCTGCTCCGAGGCCTTCCATTACAATGTTACCATGGTGTCTCAACTTCTCCTCGTTAACTTTAAGGTCATCATCTTCCACCATCATTTGTTCAGTAAAAAGTTTCTTAAATTCCGGATGCAATTGGAAAAACCTGATAAATAAAGAAAGAGATTTTTAAATAATACAACTTTCTTTAAACGTTAAAAGCAACAGGGTAGTGCATCGCTATATATAGATTCCACAACTGCAACGAGTGTGATACAATATGTCTCCACTCGAGACAGTTACATTTTAATATTTAAAGCGCGATGCTTGTCAAGCTTTTTAAATAATTAAAATTTAACTGTTGAGAGTGGAGAAATATCGTAATACACGAGTTATAGTGGTGGAATCTGTTTCCCTAATGAGTTTTATCCTTGCTTTTCAAAGATTTGCAGAAATTTGTGTTCTTTATAAGTGACGTCATCAGGCATGGTCGCCTTTTTTCATGACGCCACAATAGAAATTCAGAAGAAACCAAGAAAATTTGACGTCATAATTAAATTTCGACCAATCATTTGCCGAGAACAGCTATTTCACTAGTGAGGAGAACATTTTTTTTTTTCACAATCGGTTGGGAAATGTGAAAATAGTGAAAAAATTAGAGAAACAGTATTTTAAAATGTGTGCTAATGGAAATATTAATTAATGGAAGCATGGAATGACAGCAAATTATGAGACAGTGACTTTTAACAGGTCACTGCAGTGGTGACAAATTCTTTGGGTGGAATAAACATGTTAATTCCATATTGGTAGGATTTTTATATGATTTTGATTTTGAATAAAACAGCTAGCATAATCACCTGAGGGAAAGGTATATTTACCGCGTGCTTTTACGTGTATAATTATGGTAAACTAACATCGCTTGGTGTACAATCGGTTTTGGTAAATAATTGTCATAACATACAGTTTCTCTATCGGAAAATGGAATAAAACAATTACTGTCTTTTGTTCCGGTAAACGTGTGGTTTAATTGACATTTGAAAAACTGATATTCACTTCAGGCGTTGTCCTCAGTGAATATTAGTTTTTCGAAAGCCACACATTTATCTCACCAATACACAGCACTTGTATAATATACAATACCAGTATTAGAAAATAAAAGTATTTTTATAGAAATTTGACTTTCCTAGAGCGTCTATTCACCATAAATCGTAAATATTAAAAAAAAAAAGAAGATAAAGTCGGGGACTTTCTTAAAAATAACCAGTTGTAAATAATAACGTAGTTTTAAGAAATACAAAATGTTATGCTAATAGTACCTAGTGACCTTCAAACGGATCTAAAATAAGTACAAGGTACAATTTATGACAGGTTTTATATCATAATACGTCAATAGCTACAACGCAATTAGTATAACTGTCATCGTAAACGAAATTGATAGGTATGTTTTATACTTATAAAAGTTCAAAGATAATCAGAAAAGCGTGAAATTTACAAATAAAGTCTGTTTTCAAATATATACCACGTTTTCAGTGCAGATTTGATATTTTTCTTTATTCATTCGTCATTCAACGAATTCATTGTTCATTTGCAATCTCATTTTGTGCATTAGGAGACGACCCGACCCTTTAAGTTTCTAATCTCTGGAACACAATTATTTGCTGCATTTCTTAGGGCAGAATATTCATTTGTTATCCTGGTTTCAGCAATGTATTTTTTTCATATAGATAGTGAGGGCAATTTTAGCAGCGCCGGATTTTAAATCCAATTTGATTCGGGCGTGACATCCCGATAGTCTAAGGAATCATACCTCCTCAATACGGGACTTTGTGTCGGATGGGAGAAGTCTATATAATTTTATATCTATCTATCCCGGTATGGAAGTATTTATATTGACAATATAATACTTTCATGATCCCAGTCATCCTTTGTTGTCTGAAGGAATCAATTTTATTCTTTAGATAGCCCTTCGACAAAAATTTCGAATTGAATTTCTATTTTTTTACTCTGCAAATATGTTACAAAAAAAACGTATTTTCCCAGCTGGATATGATATCCTTAGGGCTAACACATAAATCGGTTTACAAAATGACGATAATAAAATTATACTTTAGATTTGATATCGAAATGATTAAGATACTTATTAACTTCAAAGCTGAAAGCTTGATAAAATTTATTAAGTGTCCCTTCCGGCATTATCTTGTTTGATAATCTATCTTTATCAGAGTAATCCAACATCACTTCTCGATCATCTTTGATTGAAACTTTTGTCCTTGATGTACATTTTACATATACATTTTGTTGAACTGGTACAGCTATAATAAAATTCCAGGACCAAGACAAGCTGTTTCGCCTATGAGAGTCTGGATGGGGGTTTTCATTTCTGTATTCTCTTAGACTAATTTCTTATGCCACTTCTATCTTTTTTTTCTATTTTTTGGCTATCATTATAGAAGTTATTCTTTAAATTTTTGCCCTTAAACTCTATTCTTTATATTGAAGTACCCCATCAATCTCTATACTTTATTATATATTTTTTTGGTCAATTTACTCTTTAGATTTCTTTTTTTTTTTTTTTACTTGTGTTTGACTTTTTTTATTCAAAATTATTCTCTTTTCTGTTAACCCCTTTCAATTAATCCCTCACCTAACAATAAAAATCTTCAAATGCTTGCAAATCGTGTGTAATTTATTGATTAGGGACCCTGCTTAACAGAATTTATCAGCCTTTGGGAGTCTAACGTTTGGTAGACTACTAGTTTATTACTTAATACTTTGGACTTGATTGGGCATATTTTCATCAGCTATCTAAATGGTAAATGTTCTATAATAAAGAAAATGGTAAACTGTTTAAGTTTTTGATATTGACCGATATGTTGGTACGACTGTAATACCCCCTCCTGATCCCTTATCACAAAAAAATGGTCACCTGGAATAAACAGCACGCTTGACCTGTGAGGCACTATTATACACAGATGTACAAAAATGAGCCTAAGATCTGCAGACGAGTAAATTTTCATGACTTTCTTTAAGGTCAATGGAGCACAATTCTTCCGAATGTCAGACAACAGGAATGATTGATTGAATGATGTTTGCATAACGTCAAGTTGCAAATATTTCAGGCATGTTCAGGACAAAAACAAATAATGAAATGCAAGCTTGGTCTGTAAGTCGATATCATACACCAATGTAACAAAAATAAGCTCTAGATCTGTAGGTATTACAAAAAAGTCAGGACAAGTCAAGTACAATGTTCGTGAATTCATTTAAGTCCAAGGGCCGTAGACGCGGCCTACAATATTAATGTCTTTTTTCAATGCTATTGAATGATTTTAAATCAACTGCCATAGTCCCGACTTAGTAAACAGTTGCTTTTGAATAAAAATGGTGCAATAAATCGGGTTTTACAGTGAGTAAAATCGTCCAACTTGTATGCCAAGTAGTCGAATGTCTTGGATGGATTGATTGAGTGATTGGTTGATTGATTGATTGGTGTTTAACCCCACTTTTAGTGCTATTGTGCTATTTCGAGGCGGTCAGTTTTCATTGGTCGAAAAAGCCGGAGTGTCCTCGATAGGAAAACTGCATTGTCTTGGAAACAATGTCCATACTGATGTGTGGATTTGTATTCTCACATTCCCGAAAGGAGATGGTTTTGTACGTATATACTCAATATAGCCAGAGGGTGCTTTACCAGAGTAATAACAAGGGTTTTGTTCTTTTTCCACGGAGCATGGTGTACTCAAACACAATTATATACCCGTTAACGTATGTATATAATGTATGTTTAAAATCTATTTGTCCGGACTGAATACTCATCAATCTTGCGCAGGCGTACTTGTAATATTAAATTATGGCATTCGGATTATGCAAACTAGTAAATTATATTCTTCGAAAATTGGTAATAATTGTACCAAAAATATTTTTTAAAAGTACAAACAAAATAATACATATGCAAATTATACAAAAGAACAAATATTCCGAAAATAAATAAATCTTTCCATGCAAGATAATTTACAAAAAGCTATCCGTTTTACAAAAAAAATCCATAGCAAATCAAATTGAGTCAAGAAGACGTTAAACCCTCACACCCTTATTAGAAAAAGAAATAAACATCACAAGACCTAATAACAAAAACTTATATAAGACTTGCCCGGCTATGATAATGCAATATGAAAGCGCATATGAAACAATTAAGCACAAATTTAAATCAACGTATCGTGCCCTTCATTCATATCACGACGAAAGAGCCTGTGTATTTTTAAATCCAAATGTTCAAGCTTCTAATGGTAAGAGTATTTGTACACCATGTGATAATCATATCTGACATATACTAGTCAAGCATCCAATGGCTAAGTATGAATGTATTCCTACCAGCATCACTTGATAAGAGTATGTGTACCAATACACGACATCAAAATCATTTCGGACGTGGATGCGTATTTTTATATCCCTACCAGCTAAACATCCTTTGGTAAGAATATTGCTGATCATCACATAAACGTAAGCCATGTGTGTCACGGAAGAGGAAAACACTTCGTTTGACTCAATAACTCAGGTACCACCTCACGTATTCTTGGTTGAAATAATATCATTTCGATGTCCAATAATATCAGTGTTCATACTTTAGTGATATCTACCCTTTATCTCTAATATATGAACGACTTCAAATTATCTTGATTCGATCTACATCAATTTATGAAAATACAATGTAAAATTCCACACTGAAATTTTGGCATCATAGTCAATAGTGTCAAAAAAGTATAAGAACGTGTCCACTATAATACATCTTAAATAACGGGTCCACTATACATGCTAAATAACGTGTCCACTATATATGTTAGATAACGTGTTACTTTACCTGTTAAATAACGTGTCCACTTTACCTGTTAAACAACGTGCCCACTGTACCCGTTAAATAACGTGTCCACAATACCTGTTAAACAAAGTACCCACTGTACCTGTTAAATAACGTGCCCACACTACCTGTTAAATAGCGTGTCCACAACACCTGTTATATAACCGGTCCACTATACATGCTAAATAACGTGTCCACTATACCTGTTAAATTATGTGTCCACTGTACCTGTTAAATCTCGTCCACAATACCTGCTAAATTACGTGTCCACTGTACCTGTTAAATCTCGTCCACAATACCTGCTAAATTAC